GGACTCTGCACTTTCCCTTGTTATATTTCTGGGACAATCTTTTACCAGACATCTGGATAATTACAGATTGTAAACTTTAGGCCATAATACGGTGCAGACATGCCCAGGTATTTCTTGAAGCTCTTTAAAAAAGGTGTAAGTTAAGCCAAAGCTTTGCTTAAAAAAATATCATGGATACTCCATACTTTCTCGGAGAAAGCATGGAGAGAGGTTTGTGTCTGAACTCTGGGACTGAGCAAGATATTCAAAAACACAAAAAAAGTCCAAAATACTAGAGCACAGGTTTGGTTTTTTAGCTTTAAGAAATTATGACAGTCTCTTCTTCCCACCCCATACAGTTGCTTCTAAACCAACACCTCAATACAGTGACAAAAACATCAGGGGTGAAGGAAGAAATACACATCAGTTTTTGCTCAGAAGTGCAAAATTACAACACATACTAGATAATTAAGTCTCTTGAGATTTGGAGATGTGGTTCAAATCTGAGCTCATCCACAACTGTTAACACCACTTCTGCGTCCTGACAGATCGTCTTGCAATGCACAGGTTGATCGAGCGCTTTTCGAGCCACTACAGGGGGCACTAAAAGATTTGTCATGTTGAATACAGGTGTTACAGCAACGTCTTCCTCAGCAGTGCCATTTCTGCCACTGCCCCAAAAAACAAGTGACCTGATGCAACTCTGGAGATGGAAATCAGAGTGAGAGCAAGAAGAGAAAGACAGGAATATTTGCCAACTGGTTCTACCACCCAAGGAAAAAACAGGCACTTGATCATTGCCAGCTCCCACCAACGGTCCTTTTTTCTGACCGAAATAAAAACAGCAACCCAAGAAATCAGATTCATTAATGCAGAGTCAGAGGTATCCACAGCATCTTTTCAGAATAGGTCTGACCTGTTCATGTCTTCATATTTTGGGAGCTCTTAATGCCTACTCCAACAGTTTTACCTACCTTACCTTCTCACACCATATTTAATACCAGACTCGCTTACAGCGCTGGTAGACAAAGCCTCCAGCTCCCCATGTCTCGTTACTGATGGGCGTTATGCAGTGGTATCCACATGAGCCATGTAACATCAAGGCAACCTGCATCTTCTCCCTGCGTCTTTTTCTTTGACCACTGTACCCAGTACTGCAGGGAACCCTATGAGGCCACCAAATTTCACCCCACCTTTTACCTCTCAGCCCTGTGACACCAATACTCTGGGTATTGCTAGAAGGCAGCGGGATGGTTTCCATTAGCTACTGCTAAATCTGGAGGCACACAATTACGGGCATATGAGCAGAAACTCTTATTTCCTTTAGAAATGTAATAGTTTTGCTGAACAGATGTTCTGGGAATAGCATGGAGCACCACTGGGCAGTCCAGAGGACAGCAGATACAGAGGAAAGGACTCCCAGCAGCAAGAGGATGAATGCGTGCATCCCACTGAGTACACGCATGGGAAGATCAAACGGGGAGAAGATGGTTTTACAAGTTCTAATGTCATTTAGTTTTTCCCGTTTTTCAATGCTTCTATTTAGAAAAATACTACAAAAATAATCTTGCATCTAGCAGACCTAACTTGAAGTGAGAGGCTTAAACTCTTCTCTTGGTTAAGTTACGGAATAAGTTATTTGATTACAGGCTAAAAATACTTGCTGTCAGACATTCCTTCTCTCTTTAAGGAGCTCTTGAATTGATAATCCCACAACAAAAGTAGGAAATACATTTTTAATGTGACTGATTAACATTTTAGCTCACTTTGGAGCAGTCACTGTATTCTTTCACCTGAAGGTTTTAATTCCAGACTGCTGACATTTCCTAAAAAAGCATCAGAGTTGAAAAAGTAGTTACAGCGTTGACAGAGTGCAGTGCTCACTGGTCTGCCTGGGGCAAGAAACCCGATTACGTGGCCACGCCAATCCCTTCTGGCCTCACCATTTTTCACGACATAAAAACCATTCAGCCACAATCTATCTGGGTTTTTTTGCTGCTGCTGAATTTAAGATAAAGATAACAAAGCATCTAAATAGGACAACGGCCTCAATACTCCTCCAAGCCATTGAACAAGGAAAGGGAGGCTCTGGAGCATGCAGGTGCTATGAGGGCCATGGCAAAGACTGGCAGTCGCCTCCTGCAATGTCTCGTCTTGGCGTGGAGCTGTTTGTGGAGGAGATTGCACAGGCAGCCTGACAGCTCTGCTGGCAGCCAGACCAACATGGAAAGCGCTCACCGCAGCTGAAGAGGAAGAGAGAGGATTCCTCCTCCTGTTCAACTTCAGGTCGGTTTATACTTCAACAGGGTTGACTATATCCTCCAAAATAAAAATAAATCAAAAAATAAACAAAGCATACGGACTTGGGACGCAATGAAGAGCATCTGCTCCTCTTCATCAGTAGAGACCCAAGCTGGAGTTTCAAAGGGGATTAAGACTCTCCATCTGCACCTACAAGGGAGGTCTGTGATGGCAGTGACCATCCAAGCAAGGCAGCACTGGAGCAAGGCAGGAAACCACAAAAAGGGCTCCTGAGCCCTCCTATGGAAATATGGCACTGGCTCATCCCTCTCCCACCCAAAGAGGCAAAAATAGCCTCCCACCTCACATACCACACTGTTCACCTCGGCCAGTCTCATCCCAACGTACACATTACTACACTAAAAGTAAAACCAGCACCCAACGTTCAAAGTGTAACATGGAAGATTTTGGCACAAGTTCTAGGTAAGATAAAATTAAATTGTGTCAGATCTCCTCTAGCCATGCTAAGAGCACAAAAACCTGTCTTGGGTAATGCTCTGCTGGGCCTCCCCTACAGCACTCCTGCACACCTCATCCAAGCAATCTTTAATCTACACCACCTTTCCTTTGATGCTCAAGGATCTCCATAGTCTCCTCACTACCCTCTTTTTGTTGGCAAAGGGTAAAGAGAGGGCAAGCAAGCAACGCTAAACATCTCTTCATGCACACGTGTCTGGGCTCATGCACATCCCAAATTGCCAGAGGCGGTTTTTTAGGCAAAGTGACTCATTTGCCACTACGATGCCTATTTCCCACCCCCTCAAGGACAATCTCTTTAAACTCAGAGAGATTGAACTAATAACTTTAAAACGATGACTTACCAGCCTCTCATTATCTTCTGAGGTTCTCTGGTAATGAGCTGCTAAAGCAACATAATCCTGCGCCTGCTTGTTACACTCTAAACACTTAAGTCCATGACGGATTAGTCTCAATGGGTCCGTATAGAGAGGCAAGGCTGGCTGAGCATTAGCAGAAGTTCCTGCCCCACCTCCTGAAGCAGCACTCGGCTTACCCGAAGGAGAGGGTGAGTGCAAAGTCTGAGGCGAAAGAGAGGCTGAAGAGCTTGTAGGAGAAGGTGAAAACATTTGGTCTAAGGAAATTGGTTTCATTAGCAGCTGAGAACACTGCATGATAAATCCTTTGCTCTTGTGATCTCTTGCATGTTTAAGCAAGCTACACTTATTAAAAAAAAGTAGCATAGTTGAACACTGAGTGCACATGACTTCAATATGAACACTTCGTCTACTATAGTGTTGAGTCAGGCTTTTCTCTAAGGCAAACGAGTCCCCGCATTCCAAGCAACAATACCCAGAGGCAGGTAAATTAATACTGGTGTCAGGTGGAGGGCTAAGGTTCGGAGTATATATTGGCACCAGATTGGCACTGTGTAGTACTTTATTAAATGCCTCCACGATGACAGGAGCAGCTTTCTTGACTTGGTGCACCAGCGGCACAGACATCTGCGTCACCTGGGGCTGGTTTCGCCTCTGCGCGGATGACTTTGCCGTAACAGAAGCAGCAACGCTGTGCGGGACTAGGTTGAGATTTGCCAGGTGCACGGCTTTGGGAAGAAGGCTGGAGGTGGTCGTGTTGGACGGCTGCACCATGACACCCTGCTGCTGCTTCTTAACGCCTACTTTTATGGCACCGCCACCACAGTTTGGCAGCGGGGATAAGGACACGGCACACGTGCTGTTTGCAGCAATATCTGTTTTCATACTGTCTGCGTAAGGACTTGCTACATTTGACAGCTGGATAGCCACAGCAGCCCCATTTTTGGTTGAATTCTTGCTAACCTCGCTTTCCATAACTGCACTAGTGTCAGGGGATGGGAAGGACTTGATAAATTCTTCGGCAGATGAGGTTTCCGCAGGTGACTCTTCTGAAGATTTGCCCAATTCATCATTTTCTGGCAAAATTCTGGTTACAGTTCTTCTAATTTCACCAGAGGATGTCTTGATAGTCTTTATCCTAACTTTGGGAATAGCTGGGGGAGAGCCAGCGGCCATGGAAGGAGAGCCTTTCCCACTGCTGTCGCTGCACACACTTCGGGGACTCTCAGGCTGCTTACTGGCTTTCCTCACCACCTCTAAGGGGCTTCGGGGACTCTTTGGCGACTTGGGCATTTTTGGACTTCCTTTTGTCCCATCTTTAAAAGCGCCGGGCTCCTTGGCAAGATTTGGCTGATCACCTTTTGGAATACATGCAACCTTTTTGGCCTGAAGAGCTACTAACGCCGCCACACAGGATGACAACTTCGAATGAGTTGGCTTTAATCTCTGGCGAGGCGGTACTGACGAAGACATGCTCAGCTCGTGCACAGAACCCTTACTTTCTCCTAAATTATTGTGAGAGAGGTCTCCAAACACTAAGCCTTCTCCAAGATAGCTGTTGGTATCTATCAAGTCCTTGCTTGACTCCACAAACCTCTCTGCTGCTTTGTCTTGTTCTCTCCTGCTCATTTCCAGCCTATTCTCTGGCTGGTAGTGGATTTCCATCTTTTGTTCCTTTTTACAGTATTGATCAAACATGCTTAATTCAGGCTCTGGTACCTTCCTAAGATGATCTAATACTGAAGCTCCTGTCGGTATATACATTGAAGGTGGTGGAAAATACGGAGTTTGGGCATGTTTGGGCTTATCACCAATACTGTTCTCTTTGAACGAGTCCTCTGGTTCAGGGCTGGAAATTGGGCTAAACTGACTAAATGTTGGCAAAGGCTCTGACTTGGACTGGTCCAGTTTATCAGAGTAATTTCTTGAGCTGTCACCATTAATAAAAGTTGACTCAAACTTGCCATAATTATGCACTAAAGTGTGAGCCTCCGATGGCAGATCAGACCCACGAAATCCGTTGTGTAGCAGACCGGTCCCAAGGTGATTCCCCTCCTTTTCTGCTTCAAAGGACTCCTGGCGACTCGTGTTCTTCACTATCACACTCACAACAGGAGCATCAGAGGGTGGCAAAGAGTGGGATAAGGACACATTCTCATCTATGCAGATTCCCGATGACTTCAGGTGATTCTCGCTCTCCTCCCCAGCCGATGGGATGGTCTCCTTGGCATCAAGGCTTGTCGGATCAGGGATGTCAAACGCAGCCAAGAGGTCATCGAAGTCTGGGGTTTTCATGTCCCCCATGATGAAAGCTGCAATTAAAAAGCAAAAAAGTACTTTGTCAGCTACATTTCCCCCAAGGACAAACTTTGTAAGACTCATTTGCATAAACATCTTAAGTGACAAAAAACACAACTGCCCTAAACACCAGCATAGTACAAAGGCTAGAAACACCTGCAGCAGACACTTCAGCTTCCATTTTAACTAGTCCAGGATTGACTATTCATACACAAAGATACTCGCCCAGCTTTTTCAACACAGCTTTCAACATAACAGTGCCATTTCACAGGGCATCACAGGGAAGGAACCTCTCCTGCCCTACCTGTGTCTGGAGAATCAGCAAAAGCTCAGGTCCCATCCTGCTTGAGCTGGCAGGTGACGAGTGACAGGAGCTGTTCACTCATGTCCTGCAACACAACCCACCCTCTCTGGGTTGTAGGCAGAGCTGCTCCTGGTGCTCCGAGCAACATGGTGGGAGACAGCATCCCCTTTTCCCACAGCTGGTTCAAACGTGACCTTTTAAATGACAAGCTCACAGAGGGGACATCTTTTCAACCCATCAGCTGCATTCCTGTTCCAAAAAACAGCTCTCGTCATGAACCTCAACAGAAAAGATTCAGAAGTTCATTACTACAGGGTTTCTTTTTTAATTGGGGTTTTTTTCTAGAGCTAATAGGCAACAATCACTGCCTATTTAGAACCACAGGATGGTTTGGGTTGGAAGGGACCTTAAAGCTCCCCCAGTTCCAATCCCCCTGCCATGGGCAGGGACACCTCCACCAGCCCAGGCTGCTCAAAGCCCCGTCCAGCCTGGCCTTGGACACTGCCAGGGAGGGGGCATCCACAGCTTCTCTGGGCAACCTGTGCCAGTGCCTCACCAGCCAAATTTCTCAACAGACTGTCACATCTGAGTAATTCAGTCCTCCTTCAAGGAAAAAAAGGCAGGAGTAAACAGGTGGTCCAAGAGAAATAGGCCTGAAAAGTGAGATGACTCCTTACACAGAGCAATTGAAATAATAGAAGTCTTCAGCAGATATTTCAACATAGCAGCTCAAAGCACAGTACACCAAGCAGGATTTATGTGAAAGAGGGACAGTCCTTAATTAGGTAACGATGTGAGGCAAAACAGCCCAAAGACAGAATAAAGGATCTTATCCAAATCATAACAAGAAATGGTGTTCCCAGACAGCTCTCTCTTTATAAGCCTTCCAGAAGGAAAGCAGGGACTTAGACGCTCGTCACAGAGAACTACGACAGCAATAATCAAGCTCTGATGAGATGCATAATGAAAAGCGACAGCACAGAATTACTTGAACGTTTGTGTTCACTACTGTCAGGGACACCAGTCTTCCCCTGTTTATCAAAACATTTTCAAGTTCGTGCAATATATTGACTTCACAAATACTGAGTAAGCCATTCTTTCAATACAAGCCCCATTTAACCCCCAAATTTATGTGAATTGATGTATGCTGTATGCAAGAGAGGGGGGGGAAAAACACCCAACTGAACTAGCAGAACATCAGCTCCCACTTGGCAAGGAGCACCCACAGGCAAGGTATGTCCTGCCACGCTCAACTTGGGCGACATCAGTGCTGTCAAAACCAGCGACAAGTGAGGGAGACTGAGAGGGTGAAGGCGGTAGACCTGGGAGAAGAGGTGCAAGGACCCTGGGACAAGGCAGAGGGACAGAAAGAAGCAGTCTGACACCTTCCCAAAAGGCCACTGATTCAAGGCTGCTTTCATTATTTACAATTAGGTTTAAAAGTTTGACAAGTGTCACATCAAAACTAAACAAAGTGCAACTCTTCCTGCCAGACTGCTGGTGTGGGGAACAATTTACAGAGCTGGGCCAGGAGAAGTCTCTTCAGCACAGAACAAGAGGACATACTGGTCTTTGAGCGTTAATTCAAACGAGCCCCAGAGGTGTTGCTTTGGTTAATCTACTGCAAAACACTGTGCGGAGATTTACTTGGCTTACAAGTGGCTCACTGTGGTTTAGCTTAAACTTTTTCCCGTCCTTAAATTAAACCACAAATACGAATGTCGACAGAGGGCTGTGCAATACTGTACAGTCACATCCCTCAGCAAGGTATGGCAGCTGTGCATTAAGTCCCTGGAAGCCTAGGAGATTATCCATCCGCTTCACATCACCAGCACTTGATAAGGACTTCTGAAGCATCGCAGATCACTGCGGTTGGCAGAGCGCACAGACCCGAAACTTCCCCTTCCTTTGGGTGGGAAAACTTGTGCCAGCTGGGAGACAGCTAGGCACTGCTCAGCTCCCAAAATTTCTGGCACACAAACCCTTCTGCAAGGAAGACATTTCATCCATAACCCAGAATGCTCAAGTTTTATATAGAGAAAAATAAGCTTGCCAATCACTCTTGACTTCCCTGTTCTCTCCCGAACACCTATCCGCATCTTTGAACGCAAAAGTGTTTTAAAATACGAGACAAAATAAATCCAAGCTATCTGCCACATTACAAAATATGTTCTTCTTGGAAGAAACCTTGCCTTTGCAGAAGCTTTCGTGTACATCTTTAAATCCTATAATAAAATACTAGCTTATGCTCTTTGCTACCATAAGAGCCGAAGTCTCCACTCAAGTATTTCTCCACAAAACTGCATCTCAATCTTGTCATACACGAAGCTACAGTTCTAGAGACCAAGTATCTTGCCCATAGGAGTGATTTTTAAATGACAAAAATGTATAATTTTGTCTAAACACCATTTATACCTGTTAGCAGATAATAAACAGAAAAAGTATATTGAAGGAAATTATGTCAAAGCCTCCTGTAAACTACCTTGTGAGGAAAGCTGGAAATAAAGACCTCCATCCTTACTCCATCCCTCTTCTGCAAAGGACTTGCCTTAGAACCCAAGCTCAGAATTCAACTTTCTCTCTCCATTTGCCTATGAAAACACAGAGGTTCAAATTTGCAAAGCAACAGAAGAGAGAAATAAAATGAGCAAAGAAGAAGGACTTCAGAAGCGGGATGCCTGTATTTCAGTGTGCAAAACCAACCTCGCCATAGCACGTTTCGCCAGGAGGCTTAGAACCCACAAGCCTCAAAGGCATCCAAAAAACCCTGTGAACTCACTCCAGGCAGCATGTGAAACCTCAGGGCCTTCTGTGGTGGCTCAGCAACAAAACCCTGCAGCTGGACAGAGGCACCACAGGACCTGCCCACACACCATACAAACCTTTTGCTCGTAGTGCTATTCCCAGGGATGTTTGGAGACTGGCAGTAGATACTCTGCAGCTTTCAAAACAGCACGGATCATGCTGTTGAAGGAGGAGGTTCAAGATTGCCACCTAATAGGAAAGCACGAGAATGGGATTACACCAAGGTCAGATAATAAAGGAAAATAAAAATAAATATTAGGAAATCTGCAAAACAACAGTGGGAAGAACTGCAAAACAACAAGGGGAGACATCTGTGCAGGGCTGCTCCGGTGGGTGCAGAAGGGAGGAGGTACAGGAAGGAGGTGGGCAGGGGTGGCCTCTTTGGGGATGCAGGGATGTCAGGAGCAGGGTCACTGGCAGCTCTGTCAGGACGGTGGGGAAGGGATGGGAGGCTCACACCGGAGGCTTCACACGGGACCCCGTTTTATCACCCGTTAAACTTCTAGGAGCCTCGCACGGGAAGGCAGCGGGTTCCGGATTAACGGGGCTCTAAGGTCGCCACCCCCGTAGCAGCCCTTCCCCCGGCCCACTCGAGACAAAGACC